TATAACCTTATATTTTGCAAGTTCAAACTTCAAAGAGTACCGATTGTCGGAATACACGCATCTTTCCTACTCAGAATTCATTCCTTATAGAGTAATAGGATAAGTTGAGGACTATATTTCATCTATACAACCAGAAAGAATACTGTTTTGTATACCATATCGGTTCAATTGTTGAACTATTGTACTGTTCAACTGCTGAACCCTTATACCGTTCAATTGTTGAACCCTTATACCGTTCAACTGTTGAACTCTTGTACTGTTAAATTGTTGAACCCTTGTACTGTTCAACTGCTGAATTGTTGGATGGTTCACGACAGTGTCCATTGTTAACACACTCTTCTTGCAATAGTAATTATTCCCTTAGTCCCATACATGCTATAATCGATTATTATTCGGACAAAATAGTAATTTCTGGACTCTGGTTGACTTCACACTGTTACCAGCTATTTTCTTACTGGTCGTTTGAAGAGATGTAGATTGTAGTGTGCTGGTATTGGTGGAAGTATTGCCTTATCGTTCATGTTTTCATTTCTGGAGAGCATATTCTTATATTTGCTTGTTGATCAAACAATTCCTAACTTCACTACCAAGTATACCAGTACAGTATCTATTGTTATACTCTGAAACTGTATAGTTTTACTGTACACGACTAGTTACCTGCATTTACCAACTACAGGTAGCCGGCACCAGTAACATTACGTAAACTGCAACATTGTTTATTGTCTGTACAGGAAACGTATCACACCACTCATCATCACGTGACTCATGATCACGTGACAGGTGTGTGAAGTGCGCTGGTTACCGTGGCAACGCTGACAACCTGTCAAGCCCGTTAAACGGTAACTGGGTTAACAAGCTGGTGTTTGTAGACCACGTGACTACGGCTTGTTACCTATAGCAACGTGTAACATGCGCACACAGCACACGTGTACCCGTGTACAGGAAGTAAGCATACAGGGTACACTGGTACACTAATGAGCTAAGCGTCCCATTTAGTGAACATTAGCGTTAAGGTCCAGGGTTCTTAGTGATAACAAAAAGATTGCTCCCCACAGTCCCGGGTCACCATTGGTTGCCTGGTCACACACGTGATTCGTCACGTGATTTGTTGTATTGTAGCTAAAACAGGTTAAATTGAATAGCAGTAGTGGGTGCATTAGCGCATGTCACGTGTCTTCATCCTCTCCTGTGGTTGGCTGGTTTGTCATGCCGTTTGCTCTTCGTGCAGCACTAATTGTCTGCCTGGTTTCGTTCACCCGCTCTATTCTGCTTCAGTTCACCTCTGTTTTCCCTGAGGTATAATCCCCATAACCCCAACACGGATATCTCCTTGCCCAAGTTTCCTCGTACCCGGTGTGGTCGAACAACAGGAATCACCACGAGCTTGAAGCTCTGTCAACACCGACCGAGCTGTCCGAAAAGAGTTTGTAATTGTAGGCTCAGGAAAGAGTTCCGGTCATGTTCGCAGTCTGTTTTAGGGTGAGTTAACACCGTTTTCTGCTTTCTAATCTGCTAAATTCTTCGTAAAAGTCGCCCGCTGCCAATCAAATACATTCTCACCCCAATCCGCGTTTTGTTCCGTAAGAAGCACTAACAATTTCCTACGTAACACCACACCGGGTGAGTAAAGATGACGTCGTTCTAATCATTATATTGAAGAACAGTTCAACAGTAGTAACAGTTGACCGTGGTTATGTGTGTGCGTGTGGATTTAATGACCTAAGTGGAGTCACTATTTGTACGGAGACAGTTAATGAGGACTCGTCTTTACATTTCGCAATCCTCATCTCTGGTTTGGCCGCGGCTCTCCGCTCTTTGTATTACAATTACAATTTACTATTCTTTAGCATTGCTTTGTGTCGTCCATTATTATAGTAAGCCTCGGCATATCTGACATTCCAAAGTTCTTGAATCTTCAAGAATCCGCCCAATCGGAGAATCTGAATTGTGCCTTATCTACAAGTGTAAAAGATAAGATAAGAAGATAAAAGAGCTGATATTCCTGTAAAAGAGATATTCCTGTTGCAACTGTTTTGTGATGTGTGAGCTGTGTGAGCTCTGCGCCCATATCCAGGTAACCGTTTATTGACCAATCAGATTCAGTGTTACTGATCACGTGACTAAAACCGACCAATCACAGATCGGCAGGCATCCTAGCGACTGACCAACTGTAACCCTTGTTTTTTACTAAACAATGAACTATCCATGAAGTTACATGTTAAATTTGTTAAAGTTTGTGCTTTGAAGTTTTTGATACTGTTTCGACTGTTTAAAAGCACCTTCAAGTTACAGTACACTTCAGAACAGTAACTGTTATTTCACATTTCACACTTTGCTTTTAAAGCAACAGTTAGCTGTATTGTGTGCCTTATAGCTAGCCCTGTACGCTGCTAAATGGAGTACCATTCAGGATATTCTTTTTACTAAGTTACTAGTATTTTGATGTTTCATTAGTAGGAGAGCCTACTTTATTCTTGCTGTTATTATTTATGTCATAAAGTAGGGTATCATTATCATGCGTCCTGTAGTAGTGTATTTCATGGACAGTTCCTTCATATTGCTCACTGTCCACCTCAATATCCACCTCGTAATTGCTCTATTTGTGTACTGCTGGTGTAACGAGAGTGTGTGCTGAATAATGCACTAAGTGTAACATTCATTAACTAATTAGTCGAGAGATAAACCTTCTAATTGCCGTCTGGATCCATCTAATGATTCCCTCACCGACCTCCGTTTTTCCTAATTTCTCTGCCAGATACCGCAGAGCAACTGTTTCTTTCCTAGACCACAGCTTGAGTCAGATGTTGTGTATTTCTTTCTCACTTTCTGAACATATACTAGCCTCTTGTCTGCTATTCGTCAGTGGGAACGCCAAATCAGTGCTAAATGACGTTTCGTGTGTACTTGTGGTAATCGTGGATTAGCATAAGGGTGTATTGAGGGCCAGAACAAAGGGTTGCCATTAGATAGGGGCCTAGAAAACGGGGGCCCTTCTCAATTACGTAATTAGCGAGGTAATTATACTCAAATAGGGAAGGCAGCAGATTGTGAGAGGAAGTTCTGGAATAATGGCGGGAATGAGGGGCGTCCGCTCAGGAACATGTGCTGCTATATTCCGCTCCATTTAGAGTATAGACGTGTTCCAATATGTGTGATGTAGATTATAGCCCCCCCCCCCCCCCCCCCCTAGCAGACGCCCTTTTAGTCTCCAGTGTGTCTCTACAGAGCTCAATCAGCTCTTCATTGTTGTGCTGATTATAGGGTTAAATATTGCAGGTGGTTAAATATCAGAGAATGTTACCGATATTGGGTTGTACAAATGTTGCCAAACAGTCTCGTATGTTACTGTAAGTGCCATGACATGTAGTAGTGAGCTTTAATAACCTTGCAGCTTTATTAATCAACCTCTCCTGCATGCTGTTAGCTTGTTTAACGTATAATCAGGGCGTGAGCAGGCACCTTAGAGTGACAACCAGACACGTTGCTATTAATATATCGGGTACTGAAGTTACATGTACTATAACCATTTCATGCCAATTTAATTACAATTCCAGACGTTAATCTTACGTTAAGGGTTGTTATTCAGAAATCGTTAAAATCCCTCATTACAGCTGTTGTACCTGAACTTTCTACCTTAAAGTTCATTAACCTGTTTAAAATCCAAGCGAACTCAACAGCTGGTTTCCATTGACGTTAATCTTAAGTTTCTGCAAGCTATATCTCGCTTACTCTCCACCAATAACGTAGTTGCACGGCTTCAGTGGGGTGTTTATTTTGGTCAGTTATTAAACTTACTGCTATCTTAAACTCCACGTTACTGCAGAATACACACGGCCCCAAAAAGGAACACTAATCGATATGTAGGACGTATGAAGTAGTAAAGTTAATAAACAACTGATAAACCTTTCAGCAGATCTACGTACCTAACTTAATGAACCCTATAGTCTAATAGTCTATAGTCTTCAGACTCCTGTCTGAAGACTATAGACTATTAGACTATGGAGACTATAGACTATTAACTGGCGACCTTCAGACTCCTGTCTGAAGGTCGCCAGTTAATCTGGCCCCGAATATTAATAACATCTGTTAAAATGGGCTGGTTAGATGGGCTGTGAGAAGGGCCTCACTACTATTTAATGTGCAAATACCTCACTGTTCTGTACCTGTGAACTCTGGTAACGACACATTATATACTGTCTTGAAACACTTGTCAGCCCTTTTTCGCTTACTTGACTCTATTATGCGTGACATAATAGACTATATTTATCTTGAAGCCGACTTTAAATGATCGAGAGACTCGACAAGTGTTGTTACAGCTTGATGCACTTGTTATTACTATATATCCTTGTTCTAGTTTACTTCCTTGACAAGTGTAACTGACATCCTGTCAATATATTATATAGCTTGATCTAAACCTGTTTATAGAGAATACAACTACCAGCTCTATCTCTATATTTATGATATTATCTATGATATTATCGTGAGACTGGATGTCAAAGTCGCACGAGCTGCACGACGGCCAAATTAATATTGTCCGATCTACTGGAGCTGCAGTATTTATGTTTGTGTGCCTGATTTTATCGAGTCCACCTAATACGGGCACTAGCTCATGTAATATTGATCTGATTCTTGACATGAGACTCTTGACATGAGACTCTTGACATGAGACTCTTGACAGTAGTTTAGACTCTTTATATCAGAGTTCAGACTCTTATCTAACTAAAGTTCGTATTATTTTGTAGAGTTTACTCAGTTTGTGGTCTTTGTTAACCTTGTATTGAGGAATAATATGTCTTCCTGTGCCAAGACCTGTAGGTTCGTTCTGTGTGTTCTTGCCATTTTGTAAATATATCGCAATTTTTAAAATTATGTAAGATATAAGTGGGCTTTTGAAATGTCTGAGGAAACTGGAATCATTTCAGGGATTACATTCTAAGGTTTTATGTGATTGCTCAAAGTCCTCCAGAAATATGCAGACATTTAACCTAAACATTCCGCAGGTGAAGAGAACGTCTATGGGTGACAATGTGGTTCTCAAACCGGAAATAATCCTCCCTTCTCTAATGCTTGGCAAGCTGCCAGACAAGAAGGAGAACATACAGACAACCAAACCTACGAACGGTCACGTGATAGAGAAAGAGGAAGTTAACGAGCACCAGCCAGCTGTGATGAAACGCTCTTACAGCGAGAGCAGCAAGGATAGACGACTAATCGCTACTAAAAATGGTATTGTTAATTGTCTTCACTTTAGTTTTATCCTCACCACTCACACCGCCGCGTTAGATAATGATAAGCTACAATATTTTGCCAGTGAAATGAACCCTAAGATTTTAAAGCTGCTGATCGTTATCTAACCCTCGTTATCTCCCTCACAGAAAAGAACAGATCTCGACATGGCAGTGTAACGGAAGTCCGGTCCCCACGTGACATAAGTAACGACACTAACGGTACCCCTACTACACGCTCCTCTGTTAAACGTACTGTCCGCATTGCTGAGGAAGCGAACATTGAACACAGGTCCGTTCATCTCAATTGTACTATTTTACTATTGGAAGTTTCCTCGAACAAATGGTCTTATTTCTTGTATTGCAGACATACTCGTGCAATTGCTGTGTCTTCTTTAAAGAGTCTTCAGGTGAACTTCATTTAGTTCCACCTCCTTGTTTCAAAGCTAACCTGGTCCTGCCCTCAGTAGACCCTGCTCTCTGGAGCTAGAACACGTGACCGTGGGTGAAGTTACTCCTACAGTTTATGTTAAGGATAAAAACGATGTCATCGACGAGAGTATTCAGAAAAGCGAGGTATGTTGAGAGATAATCTAAATGCTCGTTGAAAGGAATGCTGAATTTCATAATTCTTCAAAATTTGATCCCCGCCATTAAATACAACAATTACATGTACATTGTACATTGTACACGACTCACCTAAAATCTCCCCACAGTCCGTCCTAAAGCGGTCCTTGTCGGTCTCCAACTCTCGGCTCCAGAGGAAACTATCCAAGAAGCTGCTGAATAAGGAGCGGAACAGTTCCAACTCAGACGAGACAGGGGCCCCAGTCTTCCTGAGAAGAAACCGGAGTTCCAGCTCAGTAGACAAATCATCGCCACCCCCTGACCTGAAACTCATGGCTAACGCAGGTACTAATCAACTTGTGTATAATTATAACAGTACAGCTGATTATTGAAATTAGTTATGTCACCTCAGTGTGCTGACCTTAACCCAGGATCAGCTTAATGTCCGGTTCATGTTCTCGGCCGATCGTTTGTTGTTATGACGATTCGTGCAAGAATCTTGGTACAGATAGTTAAAATCTTATTCCAAATTTCAAGTAATTAATTAGTAATTACAGTCTATATCGCAGGATTAGCGATGGAAGATATCCAAGCGTTTGGTTTGATGTACGTGCAGAGATTGGAGAACAGGATGAGGAACATTGACGCGATGAAAGAGCTGGAGAAGCAGCACAATATAAGGTACAAATAGTTCCACTTGTCTTACTACGTCAACATGTCTTACAGTTACACCAGTAACTTCAACATATGTCTTACAGTTTCAGTTGTAACTACATGTCTTACAGTTTCAGTTGTTACTTCAACATTTCTTACAGTTACAGTTGTATTGTTGTAACTTCAACATATGTCTTACAGTTACAGTTGTAACTTCAACATGTCTTACAGTTACAGTTGTAACTTCAACTTTTCTAACAGTTACAGTTGTAACTACATGTCTTACAGTTTCAGTTGTAACCTCAGTATTTTGTAACGGTTATAATTATTGTAACTTCAACATGTCTTAAAGTTACAGTAGTAACTTCAACAACTCAACAAGTGTTGGCTTTCAAATTAAGTCTATGTAGTCATGCAATTTGCAAATATGGGTTATAGGGGAAGCCAAGGGGTATTTTGTGGTATTTTGAGGAATGGATTTTGGAAATCCCTCATAATAAGGTCCCACATAATACCACAAAATACCCCTTGGCTTCCCCCATGGGTACGATAGACGGCACATTATTAAAGCTACCTTGATGCTGTACATTATTGAGTGTAAGAATCATACACCATTGTTGAGTTTCACACAACATAACCTCTATCTTCCTAACCTTGTTCTCCCTCAGTTGCAGAGAGCGTCTGAAAACAGCACTAGACACCCACGAACAGTTATCAGCCGGATTGGAGGACGTCAAACGTCAACTCAAGGAGTGCATGGAGAAATACCGCTTCATCAGTGAGACTTTCGTGTAGTTGTTATCATAACCTGGATTGTTGTTTCTTGGCCATGGTGATGGTTATCGCTGTCATGGTGATGGTTATCGCTGTCATGGTGATGGTTATCGCTGTCATGGTGATGGTTATCGCTGTCATGGTGATGGTTATCGCTGTCATGGTGATGGTTATCGCTGTCATGGTGATGGTTATCGCTGTCATGGTGATGGTTATCGCTGCCATGATGATGGTTATCGCTGTCATGGTGATGGTTATCGCTGTCATGGTGATGGTTATCGCTGTCATGGTGATGGTTATCGCTGTCATGGTGAGGCTCGTCCTGCACTGTTGTGGTGATGGATGTTGACTGTTGCTGCTGTAGCAAATGTTCATGTTGTAGTAACAAGGACCGTTGTTATCGGTTGTTTTTTATCGACCGCTTTTCATTAACAAAAGTTATTTTTCTAACCTTGGCCTCCGTGAGGCTTCATCATCTTGAATTTTATTTTTCGATTCGTGGAATTTCCACTCCGGTGGAAAATGAACACTGAAGCTCTGAAGTTCTCGCTGAATTTTAAAAGGGTTCTTTGAGGCATGATAACTTTATTTGTTTGATAGTTAACTGTGCACGTGTTTATTTAATTTGTTTGTTTCTAATAATCTTATGTTGATAATTTTAGACGTTTCCAATTGGTTTTATAACAGAAACGTGCCATGTTAAATTAACTTTACTTATAGTACTTTAACTAGACAGTTAACTGTCTGAGATAACTCCTGGCTACGAGTAAAATTTAGTTATACTTGTTTATTGCTGTCTCAGTTTATCGGTGATCCTTTGCGTATTATATAACTAACTACAAGTGGTTACAATACAGACGTAACCAGTAACGGTATTAACTATTATTCTAATATGACTTAATTACAATTATACCCTTTTTACTTTATCCATTGGAAGAATTCTGTGGTATCAAAGTTTCAAGATCATTTAAGTTTAATGTGCGTCAATATTGCGTGCTTAATCGAACTTGCAGCAGCTTTCATATCTACAAATCTTTACTGCTCACTTTCCATTTGGAACTGAACTTATTTAATAAAGTAATAATAATACCATTCTTTGATCATTTTATTTGTATACCATGATTTGAATATAGCTTAAAACCTTGCATTTGTCTGTTTTACTTGGAAATGAAACTTATTTGGTATAATTCTCAAGGTAGTTACACAATTCGTCTTATCTTTATAATATCATGTGCTCTTGTAGTCCAGTAGGAAAACTGAATAAAATGTAAAACCAGTATGTCAAATAATAATAGTACGTGGTCCTACTGCTACTGCAGATACATTAGAGGAATGCAGATGGTATGACAATAGGATCTATTGAGTCAATGGATCCTATTGTCTGGTGATGGACAGACCAGGTAAGGATAATGACCTGAGATTAGCCGGCTCACTTTGTCCTCAATTATTAATTAGATTATGAATGATTAAAATAAATTAAATTAAATCTGTCATTGTTCTTGAGATAATCATAAAGTATTTTGTGAATTTGTCTGTCAATGAATGATCCGTCGTAATTGCCCGGAAAATTTAATAAATTTGATCTCATTTGAAAATCAACGCTTGAATTAACGATAACGTGAAGATATAAGGAAATAAGCTATTTCTGATTTTTTGGTTGAACAATTAAAATTGATAATTATCCATCAATAACCGTGCTCATACTATATATAACGAGCCATTTTTGTAAATTGTTACTGTTAGCACTCCAAGTCCATGGCCCATGCAGTGTCGCAAACCACGGATGATCTTCATTACCAGCCACGCCACCGTTTTACTTTTAAAAATAAAACTGCGTGTTGGTGTAGCTTTGACGATTTTGCATTAGTTTTTTATTTAGTCTCACACCGTATTGTCATTTATGTACAATGTACATTGTACTTTTAAGTCTCTTTTAAACATTAACAAATACGATGCGACCACCGGACCACATGATGCTATTTTACTCAGCATGTTACTTACCAATAGCTGGGGATCTCAGGCTTCAGTGTTAGTGTTAGTGTTACTAATACTGTTACTAACACTGTTAGTGTTACTGGTAGTGGTAATAAACACGAATGAAGATATGAGTATGACGGAGTGACAGGCTGAGCAGTGAGCGCCGCCAAGTAACCTGATACATCAATAGTCTAACCAATATTTTTTTAATTAAATACTTTTCAAATTTTACAGAGTACAGCAATAGCTGATGAATATAAAATAGAATCGTTCAAAATATCGCCCCCATCTGTAAAAATAAAATATGATGGCCACCCAAACACGGTAAACACATAATCATATTCATAATGAACTATGTCCGCAGTTACTTGGAGTTAGACTTAGACCCATTACATCGAATCAATCTATAATAATATTGTTGACGTTTTACCATTCATTGTCATCTAATTTTCATAGATTTAATCGCTGCTGTTTTAAAAATGCGACGGCGTAAAAAGAACTTGCTCTGAATTAATTATACATCGTCAATGGTTCTTCAACTTCAAGTTCATGTCCACGCAGAATAAGGGGTCGTTCACATATTACGTAATCACTTTTTGGACAATTTTTAACCCCCTCCCCTCCCCTCCGTAATAAGTTTTACACATAGCTATTGTGTCAAACTTACACTAGCGTAATCATTTAAAAACCCCCCAGCCCCCTCCCCCCCCCTCGGCTGATTACGTAATATGTGAACGACCCCTAAACTATTTTTATTAGCACTCGTGGAAAGTTAATCATTCTGTAATATAATAGGTAACCACAATAATAATATACCTCCAAGTACATCAATGACAAATACGGAACCGAGGCTGGACTAAACTTGCACTATATATAATTAATTAGCCGTCTAAAGTATTATATTAATATTATATTAAATTTGATTGGGATACCAAAATTAACACAAATTGATGCATAAACCTTTTCTCTCCTATATATTATTATAGGCAGCTAAGCGAGTTACTATTGAACTCGATATTAACCAATACTTTCATTGCAAAACTTAGTGTTAAATATCTTTTTTATACTTAGTCAGCCACCTGGACCCATTATACTCGCAAATACTCTTTTTTGAACCCTACTATAATACTGATACAGTGAATACACGGACCAGTGATCCTGAGTATGATCGAGTTAAACCTCGTACATTTATATTTACTGATCATTCTTACAGCCTACTACTTTATCTAATAATCTATACTACGGTGATTTTTATTGGGTTATCTGCAGCAATGAGCATAAATAATAACTATGTGAATGTCTATAAGGTAGCTTTATATTAGTTTATCGTTATTCGATTACATATGAATACTATGATACCTGCCATCTTTTCAGCCATCGATCCGAGTCGAATAAGTTTTGTCCCTTTAGGTGTTAAACTTGAATAATATAATTAATAACTAAACTTTACGCTGCAAAGTTTTGTCCTAGAAAATGTGCTAGAAAATGATATTCTTCAGTAAAACTTAGTGTTAAATATCTACTTACAATTAAGCGAGCCACCTGGACTCGATGTGCTCGCAAAATACAATATTCATTATAGAAGTGATCCTGAGTATGATCGAGTTAAACCTCGTACATTTATATTTACTGATCATTCTTCCAGCCTACTACTACTACTTTATATTTATAATCTACTAGAAAGCCCGTGGTCACAGGGAGGAAGCTAATAGTAATAGTATTCTATTTCTTAGGTAGTCAGTACTTGAAACAGTGTGTCTAATAGTACTAAATGTTAGGTAACAGACAATGTAGCACTCTAGATAGACACTTTGACACGAGCTCTGTCCAACAGATACTGCCTTATAACTCTCATTGCAAACCATAATCGTGAGCCAGATATGTAAAGACGTTAAACCCCACCTGCCACATATACCTGACCTGATACCTTGGTATAACATCTTCTTATTCCGTTTAACGTCTGATGTTTTGTTGACAGGGTAAATATTTTCATGAATTAGAGATGTTTATATCGACTGCAGGTTTTTAAATATTCACCACCCAACAAACTAGCTGGAAACGTACCCTGGGTTTTGCGTGGCATTGGGTGTTGAGTAAGGACTTATTACCAATATTGGTCACTTTAATTTCTTTCCCTAGCTTCTGCAATGCTATTTTGTTGACTATAACTTCTCAGGTTCATATTTTTGTCAATCTAATCGAATCGTGCCCGGTACGACATACTCTTTGTTTATTTCTCTTTTTGTTAATTTTGTAATACATATGACATGTTGACACGAAGTCGTAACTAATACCGTACCACTACCAAATAGCATCTGATTAAAACATGACAATTGACAATCAGTATTTGGCTCATATGATCCGAGCTTGGCACTCAGTAGTACTCTATAGTACTCTATAGTACTATATAGTACTCTATAGTACATATTATGGTAAATGGAGCTAATAAGATAACCAAATTCACACACGGAGCTTATGTTACAAGAAGGCCAGGGTATTCAGTACACGGTCAAATTAACGAGCAAGGGACGAAATGAGCGCACCACCAATTATGTACATTTTGAGAATTCAGGTCCGCATTTATCGGCACTCCTGTTTGAACGTAGTTATCAATAGTAGGAGAATTGTATTCGAGCTTACGCATGTATTATTTTTTCACATTCATTCGATTATTATTCATTTAGAAATACAATTATAGCATGCCACTATTTTACATTCGTAGCACTAGCAGCGAAGTGCTCTTAAATACAAATTTGACTTCTCTTTTATTTTAAACACCTAATATTTGACCAGAATGGACTAATCCAGAAGTTCGCTAAGTTCGTTTTGCTAACCAAGAAGGTACCAACAAGCACTTCAGCTAGAGTTTCAGAAGTGAGATGTCACCTGACGAATACCACGAACAGACGGAACCTAGTACAGACGGTAATGTGGGTATCATAGCCCTGGGGCTGGCTGGGGTGGTGATCGTTATCATGTACAGTGTGGTTTGTTGGAGACACAGGTCCTTGGTGGCTAGAGCAAGACATCTGATAGGCAACAACAACAACAGCAGCGACAACAGTCACAACACAGATTCAGGCACCAGACCAACATCATCAAATCAGATCGCAGTTAAGAAACACAATAACTTTATCCAGAACTTGATAAAACGGCACCTGAACAAGAATAGGGTTGATAGTGATGAAAACAGCTGTCATATAAAGTTGAAGCGTGATTCTGATGTCACAAATGACTCTTACAGCCCCGTATCGAGTGATAACGACGTCATGACAAAAGGGCAGAAAATGAACACCATATCCGAGGAAGGCTCTTCTCGACCGAGTTCTGATGATTGATATCTATATTTTAAATCGCTTTAAATTTAAATGTCATTCTGCATGACCCACTTTTAAATAATATGTGATCGTTATTTGGATAGTACTATTTTGGGCAGAAGATTGTTTTCTGATAAGATACGATTTTGAATGTATTTGATAATACAATTTACAAAGTTAAACAACTAAATAGAAATGGTGACAGTAGTTTCTGTTCAGTCATGATTGAATATTATTCACATCGTAATTGTGATTTGTCAAAACTGTTGTGCAACGTACGTTTAATTCCTCAATCGCAAATCTAGAATAGAAAAATTAATCCATCGCTTTTTTTTTGACCAATTACTACTAAAAAATGTACGCCTGATCGACAGTGAAGTCAAATAAGTAATAACCTAATATTGGATTAAAAATAAAAGCTCCTCACAAGAAATATCATGCTGAGCATGGACAACAATATCCTTTAACAAATCTGTAAATTTATGATGAATAACAGTAAAGCACGGTAAATTAAACACTAGTTGAGACTAGAGAGCACATAAATATCAAAATTTCATCAATTCGTATTTTTCGGTTTAAGCAAGATAATCCCGCCGCTGATTGAGCTCCTCAGATTGAGCTCACATCAAGCCACAGTCCCACAATAAGATCTTAGTGCAATAACACACTCACTCAACAGCTCCTCATCTGCCGTGCCTCACGTATCTAAAGAGGAAGAAGGCTGCCACCCCAGCCACAGCAACCGCAGCACTGGTTGTTATTATCTTCGTCAGAGGCATCGCTGCTGACTGCTGCTGGAACCTGGAGTCGGGGTTTTTGTCAGATAGTAATACTCAGGATAAATAATCATTCAGCAGAAATGATCCTCTAAATTATTGTTAAAGTGTCGGCAAAATTCTCTGTTTTATAAATAACACTCACGGAAGAGAGGCGAAGAGAACACAGCTCTGGAATATCTTGAGTTGAGAAGACTCCCTGTCAGGCATAGCAGAGAAGAAGAGTGGAGGAGGGAGACCAGCCATTTGGGAGTACTGCTCGGGCGTGTAGTCGTAGTCCTGCTTTACTGTTGTCTTGTCGCTTTTAGCTCCTGCGTAATGAATCGTTAGTGAATAAACTTAGTGTTACTAGAGTTAGGGTGCTAGTGCACTGAGACTTCACCAATCACCATTGAAACTAGATCATGATAGCCGGGGTTGTACTTGCAATGATTCTTTAAATCAGTCAAACTTCTCATTAAAACAAACCTATGAAGACAGAGGGAACATCTAGTCGTTCCTGGATCTCGACAGCTCTGCTAAAACTGTCCTGTCTAGATGTATCGTAGAGTATTATAGCTAGATCACAGTCCCCTCCTTTCTCCAGAATCTCATCTTGGTCACCTGCTCCTACTTCTTGTACTATAAAGTATTTCTCTTCTTGCCCTTGGTACCTGGTTAAAGAGGGTAGAGTTTAGAAGATTGAGAATATACAACAAATTGAGAAAATACAACAAACTAGTTTTTCAAGAAATTTACCACGTCTGTTTACAATTTATTATGGTCTTTAAATCTTTCAATGAATTTATAATTTTAAATAAAAGCTATACCTGATCTTGTTGATGCAAATGTGTCTGTCAGTTTCAGGAGATATCTCAATCTCCCCTTTTCTTATCAGCCTGTTGATAAAACACGATTTTCCGCAACCTTTGGGTCCAAAGACGTAGCTGAGCAGAACGTTCCGACAACTTACCTGCCTTTTAAAATCCTCTTGTCTTGGGGGCGTCACTGTAAGGGGGCGACGTGTTAGGGGGTGTCACTGTAAGGGGGCGACGTGTTAGGGGGCGTCACTGTAAGGGGCGACGTGTTAGGGGGTGTCACTGTAAGGGGGCGACGTGTTAGGGGTGTCACTGTAAGGGGGCGACGTGTTAGGGGGTGTCACTGTAAGGGGGCGACGTGTTAGGGGGTGTCACTGTAAGGGGGCGACGTGTTAGGGGGTGTCACTGTAAGGGGGCAACGTGTTAACGGGACAAACAAACGTTTACAACTAGATAAGAACTCACACATCACATGATATATCACGATATTATCAAAATGTTGAGCATTTAATAAAAATATCCTCGTAAAGGGGATGAAACGATCCCTCTAAAATCTAAAAGCGAGCAAGGAACAATCCTCTTATACCTTGCACAGCAGTGAGCTGAGTGCCCCTGGTATCACTGTTATACCCCAGATAACCCAGATATTCCATGGTATGTTCAGGGTACAGCATCATGTTGAGAGTCCAGAGTGCTTCATACCCCTCCAGGGTTAACCAGCCCATCTCACTCGTCATTACGGAAGCGCTGAAGTCACCCCACGGGATGTTGGGACACACCTGATAACAAACAGTCATTAATTCTTATCGTGGACTTTCAGCCAATTCAATTCTTTACGGCTACGTTTTTAATTTAAACAAACAAGAAGTTTAAGCTAGAGATTTAAAATTGTTCGATCTTCTGAAGACATTAAACTAAATAATAGGGTAAGAAATAATTAGTACTTACGCTAAACAGATTGGCTAATTCAGAAGGTGACAAGATACCATCTCTATCAGTGTCGTGCTTGTGGAACAAACTTATCAGGTATTCAGACCTGAAAATATTAAGTCAATCACCTATTTCGCTTAAGAATACCGCCCGAAATATTCTTATTACACTAGGCCCTAAAAACCTCATCTATTTAAATCTATTGTTTAATAAATCTATTCTTCGGCTCCAACACAAACAGGAGACTCTCTAAAACAAAAACCAATTTCCTCACCCCTCATCAGTAAGCTCCACGCTAGATCCAGATTCCACGTGCAGATCAGGTCGGAGATATTCGTCTGACACCTCCAACTGGTCCGTGTATCCGAACTTCCGCAGAACTGTCCACGTGGTCTCGTGTCTAGCACGGAATTATAAATTAGAAGCTTATCTAGCTCCTTAACAAATGTTTAGTTATCAAGTCCTCGCTATTCAAGCTATCAACAATTTACCTTTATATTTTAGGTATAATTATATTATTGTCGTTTATACGGGATGAGGTTCATTTAATATGTATGTATACATCAAATATATATGATCTGACTAAGTATTATATTATACATCCACTCTTTGTGATGAATACCCTAATTAATTGTGTGTATTAGGCAACACACTGATCTAAACTAACCTTCCTTTTTGTATGAATATAGTGTGGAGAAACAGGAAACCCATCTCTGACATCTTGTTATCAATTATACCGTTATCACAATATTTCTTTATCAGATTCTTTACTTCCATTAAATTGCTCTGAAGGGAGTTTTTAAAATACTCCGGTCATGACCCCCCCTCCCAAGTGTAGAACTGATTTTAAATTTTAAATTCACAATTTCGGATACTTTTGAAAAATCATCAAGAAATATTGTATTACCTGCTGAAGCGGAGCATTAAAACACCGTTTTTGAAACTCGTTCAGTTCGTGATCACTTAGGAAACCGTCGTTGTCCATGTCACAAATTCTGAATACCCTTCTCAGAGCCTGAGAAAATGAATTGTGAGGGCTCCAAAAATGAAAATAATAGGAATAGAGCATTTCTTAACCTACTGAAACTCTGCATAAGTTGTCTAAAATACATGACAACAATCTAGGACCATTTTACAGAATCACCAGTCACAGAAACCACAATCCGTACCTCAGCACAGGCAGGTTTCAGTTTGCCAAGGTCTGGCAAGTAAAGAGGGGCAGTGGGATGAAGAACTGCTTTCTGAGCGTAGTAAAATAACTCTGATATGTTCTTCAGTCGTTTTGCACTACACTCTACACACGTTTCTATCTCAGGGTACTCGTTCATTAGAGGCAACACCTGTGATTATCAATTATTCCACCGGTTTGTCAACAAATTCACGGTTTAATTTTATTAAAATTCTTTTAGAAATAGGATTGTAAACTCTCCGAATGCTAAAAAAGCAAATTAGATATGTAATAGATATTTAGGATCCTAGATTGGATGACATAAATCACATACTGATTCTAAAGGTGACTCATCGAGATCCAACAGCAAGTCGTCCTTATTTCCCACTAGAATAACAGGTCTACTGAGATTATCCCCGTCGTTTATCTCTCTTACTTTGGGTAACCAGTAAGATCTGGTGCTTTCCAGTGACTTTTCGTCGTCCACTCCGTACACCAAACAGAACACATCTGCCTGACAAAATTAACGTTATCAAAAGTATTCTGGTAATAGGGACTATAGATCATGATTTATGGACGACAGTAACAAAGTGACCAGTCAAAACTGCAATACAATTATAATATTACTCGAGGAAACATGCCCATACTTGCGGCATTGTTTTTAAATAATTGGCGATGATTGTAATTGAGTGTTCATTGCCTCACCCGCTGCATCTCTTTTATTAGGAATTCTTCTCCGAGGTATTCCCTGGATGAAAAGTCGACTATGTGGGTAGGCACCCCTTCTGGTGTTACGGCGGCTGGTATCGTTATCTCCTCTGCCCTCAGAGGTACCTGTGATTTTACCCAAATAAAAAGATGTTTGGACTCAACGGCGATGTACAGAAAGATTTTAGTAAGGTTGTCTGGATTTTTTTTCTATTTTTAGACAATCGTTTGCTGGATAATGATAATATTATATCGGGATAATAATATGTACATTTAACCACATCGTACAAATCGGAGAACAAACAAATTACCAAATTTCAAAGTGTTGTGCGCGCGCGCGCCGCCCGCGAGAAATAAAGCCATACTTTTATCTTCGCGGCATCCAAAAACGTACAAATTTAAGTGTGACCATTTGCCAAAAAAAGGATAACGTGGTCTCCTGATCATTCGATCCTGATATTCGCAGGGTAACAGTTATTATGTTTCTGTGATTATTCGCAATGAACCACCTCGGGAACGAGTTTTCTCGCAAAAAATAGTTGGGTCAAAGTCGGTTTAACAAAAACAATAGAACTTACATGTTGAGGAAATTCTTCGCTGACCAGAGAAAGTATGAGTGACGTCTTTCCAACATCAGCTGAAACATACTCTGCATTACAAGACTTCAATAGTTCAGATATTTACGGAGTTGTTACGGGTTTCAATTCTATAAAACTTCAACATTTAGCTTGGATGTAAGTAATTATAGGAGAATATTATGTCACACTTACCGTCTCCAAGAAGCAATATTCTTACTTCTTTTTTCATCCTAGAAAACAATTGGAGAATTAGTGTTTGTACTCATCAAAAAGAAATAAATATCAAATAACGTTTTTTGAAACAAAATTCTATTTCAATGCCAATATGAACAAATACATTTTTTGTGGAATTGAACGTAATTTATTTAATTTCACTGTAATCATTGTAATCACTGTAATCATTGTAATCATTGTAATCATTGTAATCATTGTTTGAATCATTGTTTGAAACTACAAGAACCACGATAAATTTAACTAATGAATCATATTATTGTATACCATTATAGGTATTGTAAGTATAAACAAATAACAAATGTATAAATGTATTTCATAATAAACTGATGATAACTAATTTCAATTTCAAAAAAACAATTTTAAAACGACGGCACATTTTCCTATGTCAAAACTTCCCGTGTTACAATTACTAACACTAATGTACAATCAACTGAGTTATTAACGAGTCAACACTGATCAAAACCGATGCTAGCATACGACATAGCGGTCTTCAATCTCTCCTTCAGCATTTCTTTGAAGTGTATTCTGGCAGCAGTAGCAAATTAAAACAGACACTTGATTTAGGGAGGTTGTTCACAGTTCCATTCCCCTTACTGATCTTGATCGGACCTGAGCTGCCAATCACAGCGAACTGACTGAAGCCACCGTGTGGAACTCGAGAATAACCGTGATAAACTTCAGCAAAGCAACCAGTTCATCTTGATCAAACGTTTCCATTATTTCCCAAAACCAAACAATCATGTCATCCTCGGCCGTGAAATTTATGTATTTTGTGTTTTTCCGCCAGTCTTTACGGTCAATAATACTCAAGCCACACAGTATAAGTTCCAGTTCGTCAGGACCGAAAATGGCGAGGATCTTCCTAGGAACAATACTGTAGAACCCACTGAGAAAACTGTTGATCTGGGGCTTAATGGAGCCGGTCATCTTGTACTCAGTCAGTAACCTGACATATTCCACCTTGTTTTCCTCAGTTACAATTATATCTGCTCCTCCTTTCTTTAGCTCAACTGTTCCTTGCTCCCCAAACTCTTGTTCATCAACACTAAACGTCAGCTCAACCATATCTGAGATATCGTTATCTATAACCCACTGCAAACTCATCGCCAAATCGTTATCTATACTTGCCACGTCCGTGAAATCTAGCGGATCCCCCAAAATATGCTTGCAGAAACTTCTAGTGAAATGGATCCCGATAGTTATCTTGTAGTAAATCATGAGAGCGACCACCTTGCCAGCAAACTCAAAATGTTGCAGATGATCTGGGTTTACTTTTGAGGAAGGGGTAGGTTGGAAGTTAAGGCCGTTATTATACCGCTGAAACAAACCATACATTGGATCAGTTATTTTTTCAGTGAGAAGAGTAAACCATTCTCTCCTCACTCCAACCCCCATGCCGTCGTCACCGTGAAAGTTTATAGTCAGACTGCCCCTAAGGAATTTATCATCTGCATTCATGACCTGCTCGCATGATGTTGTGAATATCTGATCTCGGTCTATAAAGAAAATGTTCAGATTTTCACTGAGAAAGTTAGGGTTGTCTGGTGGTTCGTTGCCGTACAGTCCGTCGTAAAACCAACTCTTTCTCAGCTCTAGAGGAACGTCCAGCACAGCCCGTCTAATGTTCTGAAACTCAAGCATAGCAACTGGAGAATCCATGAGGAAGTCCAGTGGACCAAAGATAAGCTCAGTGTTGAATGTCAAGAAAAGTTTCAGAACGGAACTGAACTCTGAGATAAAGTCTAGAAACTCCCTGTAATGCGTCGTGTCTTCTGACCAGATGTGATAACCTTTGACAAGTGAGCAAAGTTGCGGAGCAATGTCTCGTAAATCATTGGCATCAAGCTCGTAGGGCCGTCTCATAAAGCGATAGTTACTGCCATCTTTCGTCCTGGAATGATAAGATTTAACAAGTCTCATCCATTTGTTGAGAAACTTCCACACATCATCCAACGCAGCAAAGGCATCTACTTTAGAGGGTTCACCGTGACTTGCTATATTCTGAGTTTCTATCTCAATTTGTCTGTTGAGTATTAGTTTTTCCTCTTGCTGAGGTGTTTTTGGGGAAAATGATAACATCCGTTTTTGAACCTTACTTTTGTTTCTGATGTGATCGACGGATGAGATGCCCAGGGAGCGTACAAATTTAAGGAGCTTTACAAAAAGAGGGAAACTATGAACGGTTCTCTGACAGTCGACAAGATCTTGAGCACAGTCGATAACAACATTCCTCAGGTCTGTCCACAAATCCCACACTTCTTCGGGGTGCTCTCTAAACATGTACTCCACAAATTCCTTCATAACTTCATAACTTACTGCATTACATTCGATAGCTTGTTCCAACTCTTTCATAAAACTCGGATATGCTTTTGTGACGAGATAAGCTTGGGCAAAAAGATTCTTTGTTAGACAAAGCTGAAGAGCACTTTCGTTGTGTTTGCTACGAAATGTGACGCAAGCACCAAACTTCAACAAGGCATCAACGCAGCTGACATACTTTTTAGTTAACGCAAGAATAAGAGCACACTCGATGTTTTCATCAGTAACATCAACATCTATCTTCTTGGAGAAGGTATCCAACAAGTACTTCAACACAGAGTAGTGACCATTGAGAGCAGCGTAGTGCAGGGCAGTGCGGCCATGGTTATCTTGTTGGTTGATATTACTGGTGATAACACCAAGTGACTTGATATTGTCAACCTGGCCACAAGAGGCGGCCCAGTGTAACGGCAGCAACCCCTCGTTATCACAGATGTTCGGATCACCCCCTTCTGACACCAACTTTAGGAGAATATCATTGGAAGTCTTTCTGCAGGCAATGTGGAGCGGAGTCATGCCCATTTTGTCTTTTAGATTAGGATCTGCTTTAAACTTGAGAAGTGTTTTGACGACTTTGCCCTGTTCAGCACTGACTGCCATGTGAAGCAAGCTTCTTGCATGGCGGTTCTTGGTCGTGTTGATGTCAAATATCTCAACATGCACATCATCAATGGACACAGACGTGGCATTCCGACTGCGAGACGGTAAGTCCCGTCTAGGCCTAGGTTCCGAGTAAGACAGGCGTCTGGAAACATGTGATTTTGGTTCTGGAGTTACAGGATCAAGAGAAATATGAGCAGCTACAGCCGCAGGATGATCATTGTAATACTTCTCCAGCAGCTCGCTGACAGCCTGGTGTTTACCCTGCACAGCATACTCTAGGAGCAGGTTGAAGGCCTGGTTGGGATCCTCAGGAAGCTCAGTGGTTGCTCCACGCCGGAGCGTTAGTAGATTGAGACGGTAAGGGCTGCTCCCGCCACAACTCATCTTTAGTTCTACATAACACACAGTAGTGTTGGGTTGTCCATGTACCTTGCGGGGGAAATTGGGAACTGTTAGATATTTTTGTGGACAATTTGAGGTTCAAGATCAAACTTACACGCTATAATGGGTATAATTACCACGGTAAGAATGTGTAATGTAAATTTGGCATGGTATGGAAGTATGTACCGACTAGAATACAGGTTATGTGAAATGTATATATTCATCTCCCACTATTAGTATATTTATTACATTATAGATAAATTGTTGTTATTAATCAGTTATACTCGCTTATGTTTGATAATGATTTAAAAGTATAACCTTCTCAAAAGTATACAAATTATGTGACTATTTGATGTTCATAGTCGTTAAAAGTTCAACACTACTAAAAGCATAAAATAAAATTTAAAATTAAGCATAAACCCAAACAAGGATAAAGCAAAACCGGAGGTCTTGTCATGGATTTAAAGTAAATCCCGGTAAATAAACAGAACTAATAAATTACTCTCAGATTTCCCACACAAAAAGAGTTAGAAACTTCTAAACCAGCAGAACCGCATTGATACACCCATCATTTTCAGGATGGTTAGTAACCTGGGCATATTTACCCCACACAACTTTACCTCCCGTAGTAACAAGTCCTAATTCTGAAACGTTAACTTCAATCACGGTACCTTTAGTGATAACTCCCAGCTGGGTGTACATGGGACTGTTTGGGTTTTTCTTTACTCCGATTATTGGTAAACAAAATGTGGCTTTAAGTTCTGGATGGGTCACGTGGGCCTTTTTGAAACGTAGACCCATGGGTCTGATAAATCTCTCGTATTTTGGTGGTTTTCTCGTGAATTCTTCTCCAACATACGTTACTTTTGTTACCATTCGTTTCCAAGTCTTCTTCCTCCTTTTGCCCGTTGCAAGAACTTTAAACACTTCATCTTCACCGAGCGCTTTCACTTTCGGTATGGGAACCGTCCACTTGCCGGCTTTCTCTTTCCGTTTCTGTTTGACCATGTTACTAAGAACCTTAGCACGTGTCTGAGTTTCACGATCCAGCAGATAGGCGGGTACTGCTCCCTCCTCTACATTATCAGCATCCTTAGCTTTAGTCTGCTTCTCTTCGTGCATCTTTATTGCTTTCTTCATCTGTACCTTCTCCGAGTGTCGCTTCTTGTTGTACAGTTTCGCTTTTAAGCCGTGCAGTTTCTTTGCTTTCATGGACGTGAGTCTGCATGACCTGGCGTTCTTCTTACGGAGCTTCTCTTCGTGATCAAACCGGCGACCATGTCGCTTTTGTGCTAACTCTATGTGTTCGTTTTGAGGCATGATCTGGCTTTACATGTACCTGTATTAGGAGAATGTTAGATTAAAGTTTATATTGTCAGGAGTTTATATTTGAAATTGAAAATATAATAATTCTAAATTACCATAAAATTAAAGGTTGATACCGTGGCATTTTTGCTTTTTTTAAAAGCAATAGACGTTAGTTTCTGAGCAGGTTTATAAACCGTAACTATTGAAACTCAATAATACTAATTTTAAATAACCAGCTACAATCATTACTGTCCCTATCAAGACATCTATAAGTATACCAAACATTTTCAAAAAGTGAGCTAGTAAAGCTAAAAAACAGTGATGTCTGTGTATAATTTGAATGATTCCATCTTCAAAGTAACTGTAAATCTACAGCTCTGACATAATCCACACAGTCTGAAAAAATAACCAGATTATCAGCACCTTTTTTATCACAAACTTAGATTTTAAAAGTAAACCATTAAAAAAACTGCCTTTTAAAATAAGAGCTTTAATTGCAGGGTGTCGACGCCAGTATACCAGTATATTATAGGGACTCCCGAATAGATACCAAATTAAATATGAAAGTAGATCATAGCATATTGTATAAACGGGATCATAATAAATGCAATTATAAATACCCCATTATAAATTGACCATTCAGATTGAAGATACCAACAAAACTAGATAGTTCTCTTATTCTGATTTCTATTAGCATGATAATAGGACAATGTTCACAAACATTGCAAACCTGAAACCAGGATAAAAGTGTACATCATAACAATTTTGACGTTAATCATATATCCAGGTTAACACTATCAAAAGTGATGTAAAATTTTCGTTTAAAAATTGTGGTATTTTCATTAAAAATTGTGGTATATTAGAGATTGCGGATATAACTTGCATATAAAATGTTTGAGGACTGCTTCACTACAACTAGTTTTTAACTTTCATGAAGAGTAGTCCTCTCCTAACTTGAGCTACGATATTAGCCATCAGTTTCTTCATAGCTTCATCACTGCCATTGAACTCAGGTTTCTTCCAGTATCCGCTACACCCACTGTATACTACAAACAGAGTGTCCGCTGGCAGCGCGGCGTAGATTTTCTGAACACTCTCGTCAATGTAGTTCAGGGCATCAGATAGCTGAGGATTGTTTATCATATCGTGTATGGTGGTGCATTGCCGGTAGATGGGCTCCAACTTGTACATGTGGAACCAGTAGAACTCTGACTTGGAGGAGAGTCTGCGGAGGAGAGTGTCGAGTCCCTGTTCGTCGGAAGTAGCGGGAAGCGCATGCGCAAGTCCTCGACAGTGCTGCTGCGCTACTATTGGTTTGTCGATGAAGACACCGGTTTTGCTTTGTTTCGTCAAGTATACTGATAAAGAATTTTCGTTTCCACTGGCTAATATTCCAAATTTAGGTCCCTTTTTAACTTTGAGTTTGACAAGTCTCATACACGTCATGGCATCCTCACAAGGATCATGACCACTGGCTGAGTCCTGAATCTTTGCTCTCAAATACTTCAATGCTAGAAACCTCAGACCAGGTTTCAAACTGCCCCCTTTGCCGGAGCTGTATATCGTAGCTGTGTCAACTACTTTGTCATGGTACATTTTTAGAGCTCTCAAATCGTTTTCAAGAGAATGTCCCACAAAAATAGCTTGTGTAGGCAGGATATTGTTCATGTGTTTCACCACATCTGCTAGGGTAGTGGTCACATCTTTTAATATTTCTGCCGTAATTCCACTGTAGGCTGTTACGTAGTCTATAATAGGGTTGGCTGGCTTGATGTACGTTTTGTAGAGACAGTTGAAACACTCGTCAATAATCGCTATCTGCGTAACCTCTGATCCCTCAGCTGTTTTACACATCTCACAATCAATAGCGTACAGAGGGTACTCTTTTGCTTTCACAGTTATGTTGCCAGTGAACCTGAAAGTAATTAAAATTATAAACTTTGCTTATAATTGACAACATGTTCTGTGACATAGCAGTCATTTGCATTATGAGAAGAATTATACAAATTCAATACAATTTTACAATTTTACAGTAAAAACCTGATTTACTGAGGAATTTGGGAAAGGGAAACTCCGCAGTAAATCGAGGTTTGAGGAAACCAGGGCATGATAAATGAGGGGGGAGGGGGGGCTGGGGGGAGGGGGGCTGGGGGGGGGGGGCAAATCGTTTTAATAGTGTGGGAGTTTACAACCCTTTACAAACCTTCGCCAGCCAGGTTCCTTATTGAGTGTATCCTCAGAAGGGTACTCATGAGCTAACATATACTCAGGAAGTAAGATGTAGTCCTGCACTGGAGGTAGCGCTGGTTCATCTCGACCATTCTCTGAAACAACAAGTTATTCATTTAACTTCAATTAAACTTCTTCTCCAATAAAAGACCAATTGAAGTGTTTTCTTCTGCCTGAGCTGTTTGAGGTAAAATAATTGTGCAAATTTATTGTTTAAAACTTACTAGAAGAGGAATCGTTTGCTCTTTTCTTGGGCTCTTTTTCCAATATAGCTGACCTGATCATTTATTATTGAAAATTCAAGATATGATGTAAAATATTGAGAAAAATATTCAGAGAAGTTCATAATCATGATTCCTGTCCTGCAATACGTCTAGAGAAAACAGGCACAATATAAACAGATTGCAAACTAAAACACATACCCAGCTGGTGTAACGTAGAGTTCACTGCCAGGATTTTGTATTTCAATGGGCCCGTTAGGAAAGAGGGTTGTGAAATTTGGCATGTTCAAACTCATCGTCCTGAGGATTAAAAATGGGGTAAAATATTTTACTCAATCAAAATTTCTAATTGAATAACACTGCCCCCTGGCCCTAGTAGAGGGATATTGCATATCATGTAACCTCGGGTGTACAACTTTTAACTTAACCTTAATCTAAACCATATAATTATATGAAAATATTCAGAAAGCTATTTAAATAGATTTTAAAACAATTCTTACTTGTACACAAAAGGGTAAAGGGCTTCAAGCATAACTACACAAACATTGTGGCCGGCACCTCTGTTGGTTACCAAACACCATTCTGGGCAGTGCTTAGTGCAACCTGTATTTACAATTTATAACAATCATTGTAATATTAAGTATTATCAGTATTGATTGATCACTGAGGACTACAGGAGAGTCTTGCTCACTAAAATCGTAGTGAGTGGAGATTCTCATTTCGTCCTCAGTAACCAATCATGGTTCAAGAGAGCAAACAATAAAAAGTATTATCAGTATTGGTTAAAGGATAATGCCTTGAATATAGACTAATTGAAATAGCTTCCAAGTCCTGCACCTACCTAGATAGTGAAGGATAAGAGTTTGGACATCTTTAGTCTTGATATCACCAAAGTTTTTTAGAATACTGATATCACAGGTCTCAAAAGGATTTTCCGCCTGTCAAAAACATGTATTATAATATAACATGAAGACTTTGTTGTAACTTGTATGAAAAGCATTGATAAGGTGGCAGCTATTGTGTTAATGCTAAATGGTAAAAGCAGTATAAAATGAAAGTTATGGTGTTTGCGTAAATATCCACGAGAATAACAGTAATAATTCTATACAGTTACATAATTGAAACATCCATGAGAAAGTATCATGAAACAGAATTATAACTTGGTTAATTATCAAATTGCAATAAAACTGATGCATTATTGAAAGTAGGGACTAACAGTTTCTGCACTTTTCTTTGGTTTTAATGCTCCTCGATTGAGATCTCCTTTTGACAACCCCTTCTTTTTTCTTTTATTCTTTCTAGACATTTTTGCAGTAGTTTCTTGTCTGAAAAATATTTACAGTCATTCTCACATAATTGCATAGAACTGATCATTATGAGCATTCAGATGAAGACAAATCTTGGCGATTGGAAAATTCTTGTTCATATTGTATGTTTTATGATGTAAAATACTCAATATAATCTAAACTTACTCAGTAACGTTAATTTTAGGAGCTTCGACAGAGGTATCCACAGTGGATTTTTTGTTAGATTTTTCTTCGTCTATAATTTCCTTCAACTTCCTTTTCTTTTTCATAATCTATAAAAATTTACAATAAGTTGTGCATAAATTGAGAAGTCAAATTATTAACATCTTACAACCATTTCAAATATACTGTCATCACTCCTGGAGTAAAGGATATTATATGTTTATTTCAATAAATATAATTTAATCAAAAAATTAGAATATAATCTTGTCTTTTTTCAGCTCACTCTTCTGAAACCTCTTACTCTACATTCTCAACCTCATCATCAACTTCCTCATCTTCATCATCAACATCATCACCCCTGTCTTCATCGCTGGTGGTGTGTGCGAGATTTAGGTCCAGTTCGTCAACAGGTATTGCTTTCTCATAATACCGTCCTCTGTGTCCTCTCACTGCAATCAAAACTGTTTTAAGTAGCTCAAATCGCAAAAGACGTCTTAAATTTGCCATGATGAGGCTTTTGTCCTGGCTGGTCTTGGCTGCCAGAAGTGTTGCCACTCGTTTAAGGAACATGGTAGCCTGTGTGCCCATACCTCCGGTGGTCGAGAATACAAGGCCATTGCAGGTTCCTTTTTTGCACAGCGGTCTCTATATTTCCTTTCTTTCTCTCTCATGCTTATTGTACATCTTTGCTGGGGTGTTGTGATTTGCGTTGGATTTGGCTCCAGGGTGTAAAACTCTGATATCAAAAAATACCAACCATTTCAAATCACTGCAATTTCTACTAATATAAATATATTTTACCATACGTTTTCCACAAGATTTGCGAATTGAAAATCGTTACTACATCAATGCAATGTTGTGTCAGATTCAAATATAAAATGAATAGAAACATCAGAAAAATAGAAGGTCACATGTACAATTCAACACACTCGAGTGAGTACAATGTATGTGAGACATGGTGGATCAAGTAACAAATATTGTCATTTCTTTGCAGTGTTGCTCTTTGGCAAACGGTCCCTCAAGATCTTTTAAAGTATAGTATTAGAAAGTGTCCTTCAAAGATTGTCCAATATTGTAATAGTTTCCTCCTGGAAGTTGAGATTTAGCAACCTAGCTCTAGCTCTCGGTGTAAGTCTTCTACTTTATAAATAATCTGCTTTATAAATAATCAACATATTCGAATAGACATGAGATATTAACTAAATTTGAATTAGTTTAACAGTAGACAGGTCGTTCAATAATTTAATTTTGATCGCCCAATGCAATGTTTTTTTTCTTCACTTAGTTAAGCAATTTTCTGGCAGTACGTGAACGAATGGTAATTCATTTCTTTCTCCTTCAATCCCAGGAGGAAAGTTCAGGTCTGTGCAAGCTTCTGCGATGGTAAACAGTGATTGTGGGCTAATTAAGGAGCCCTGAAAAAGGTTTAACATTTATGAAACTGATGAGGGTACCCAACAGTAAACTTTACATCGAAAATCTCAAACCGAAAAAGTACATTTCAAAGCTTTGTGTTTTGATCATATGATCGTTGTATCACGTCGTGACCCCCACGGTCGTGACCCCCACGGTCGTTTCCTGACGATACAGGGGGAGCCGCCCACTCGTGCGCGGCGGGTCATACAACGTATGACAATAATGATCTTTGGATGCAAGATTTTCGTTTTAATTGGGTAGTAATGGTGGGAGTGCAAGCCAGTATCTCTGTCAAATGAACAGCCCGCTAGAGGAGTAGGTGAGCGCAAAGTACAAACTCGAGAACAGCAGAGGGGGCCAGGGCGGCACAAAACTACATACACGGAAATGACGCAAAAGGGTAAGCCGTGCGCGGTAAATTAGCCAATGTCTGAGAGCCTTTGTTGCCCAGCAGGAGGCCTTCAAATGAGGTCATGAAGGTAACGTTCGATCGAGAGCGATGCAGCTCTAATTGATGATTGAAACTGAAAAGAGAGACTGAACGGGAAATTAAGAAAAGGGATGGGAAGGATCCAGCGAATGTTTGGCTCATGTCAGGAAATGGTGAAAAACTCACAAACAAAACCATCCGTAGCTGTCTACCCCCCCCCCCCCCCCTCCCCCCCCCCTCTAATTACGTAGGCAGTGTCTGAGATTTCAAGTATCTGATACACGAATACCCCACTACACCTCAGAGGTCGACCATTGTGCATTTTTGTATCACGTCGTGACCCCCATTGTCGTTTCACCCTGTAGCGTTTCTACGATACAGGGAAGCCGCGCACTCGTGCGCGGCGGCGCAGTTGACGGTTGTTCATAAAACGTATGACAAGTGTGGTTGCGATCATAATTATTTAATGCACGGCGCGGTCTTGTAGCGCAATTTGTAGGTTTACAACCTACCAGGACGCGCGCCGAGTTGGACTAGTCGACGAACAAATATTTTACGAGTATCATGCCCGTTAAAGTGCAATGCACCACTAATATAAGCCGCGCCGTGAATTCAATAATGCTTTTTGCAACCTTCGCTAGATCGCTGAGCTGCAAAGGATTGACATTAGGGGGTGCAAGATAAAAATAAACTTGCTCGGATTTAAAAATTTTGTGTACCACTGTTTTCTAAAGACTGTGAGAATTTTCACAATACTAAATTTGTCAATTGTCATACCTTTTTGGAAAGATCAGTGAGTTTCGCCTAGGTGCCATATTTGATGGTGCGCGGCTTTTGGAGCAAAAGTAGCTGTAAAAGTTAATTGACGATGTCAATTCATCTCAGCTCGGCGCGGCACAGTAGCGCATCTCGCCGATCTAGAGAAGCTTCATTGAGTGCGCGGCGCGGCACAGTAACGCATCGCGCTACAATTGTAAAAGTCGCGTAATTTGACCAAATTCGTTAATTATTGTCGTATTATTCAGATATATCTTCGGTTCCTTGAATGAGATAATTCTAAAAATTGGCGACGACCTTCGATCCAATAAGGCTTTCACAACTGTCCGAAAAATTTGGTAGATATCAGAGTTAATATAGTTGATAGTGATCAAAATGGGGCAAAATACGCTGCTTTTAGCTGTAACATAATGTTTGATGGTTGGATATGCTTTAAATTTTTTCGGACACTTTCCTTGTAAGTCTATGAGTAAGCTTACTAATTTTTGTTGCAATTGGAAGTCGGGAAGGATACTTGACGGATGTTACTCGTCTAAATTTCTTCGAAGTAGCGCGCGCCGCTTTCTTCTCGAAATGTTAGGCAAATGCTACGAAGTAGCGCACACCGGGCCAGACCATTAACAATGGTCAAGAAGGATACTCCATATCTATTTATTTGAAGAAAATTGTAATTGTGCTGGCCGAAATTAGCGCTAAAAAACCATCCTACAGTCGGCACGCGCGGCTGACTGTCGATGGTGCACTACCTATTGACATCGTGAATCGAACTGACGGATGTTACTCGTCTTTAAATTTCTTCGAAGTAGCGCGCGCCGTTTTCTTCTCGAAATACAATGTTACACTGGCTTGTAGGTTTATAACCTACCAGGACGTTGTATCACGTGGTGACCTGCACTGTCGCTTCACTACCCCTGTAGAGTTTCAGCTACGATACAGGGGGAGCACTCGTGCGCGGTGGGTCATACAACTTATGACAACCAGGACGCGCGCCGACGGTCCTAATATATGGAACATTCACATAGCCATGTGCCTACGCGTACTGCGTGACGCGCTTGTTTCACAAGAAGGATTTGCCGCCTCCGGCGGTCGCGCGCTACTGCAAGCGAGAGGGCTCTGGTTAGAGCAATATGGAACACATATTTTACAAGTATCACCCGTTAAACACTGCACACTGGCCCGAGGCAAGTGCTACGAAGCACGAAGTACAAAGTAGCGCGTGCCGGGCTACTATAAGTATGACAACTATGAGAACTTTATTGTGCCGTAAGTTAACGACGGAAAGGTTCTCCGCGCTACTTGGCCTGCCGGAGGCAAAGAAAACTTTACTAGTATATGATGTTTTCTTGTCATACGTTGTATGACCCACCGCGCACGAAGTGCGCGGCTCCCCCTGTAGCGTCGAAGACGCTACTATAGTGAAGCGACCGTGGGGGTCACCACGTGATACAAATGTTTTCAAGGGTCACTCGGTGACTTGCATGACGGAATAAAGTCAACGAAATTATGGCACTCAACAACATAGTTCATGAGCTAGTCCCCGCCAACATGACAAACTTGTTCCAGCTCAGCCTTTAGATATTACAGTAAATCGTACTGTTGCCAAGGACATTGTCCGAGAATGTCCGACGTTGTTATATAAGTTCTTACTGGGCCGCGCTCAGCCTGTCATTCCGCCGAATCTCTATTTTATGAAAATGATAGCCTGACACAGAACTCCGAGCGCGCTAAATCACTTTACAGTCGATCTTCGAGATTTTTCTAAAAGGGCCCCGACAGTTGAAACCAACTTGAATCGATGTATTTTTGGAGGCTGATTTAGAATCACCCCCATGACATAGGGTTAAAATGCTCTCCTGGCGAGATATCGGCAAAAAACTGTCTTGATCACGTGATATGATCGACCGTATAACTAACTATAAGGAAGTTGGTCGAATTTCTCGTTAGCAGTTAGGGTTTCAGCATATGCTTTTGTTAGGGATTGGGTTAGGGTTAGGGTTGGGATCAGATAAGAGGGTTAGGGTTTCGAATAGTCGTTCAGGGCCAGCTAGATCTAGAGAACAGGTTGAAAAAGTCACGTGACAGTCGAGTGTAGAGAGATTTATCATCATCCACAGAACTCATATTTGTGATCTGGCATTGGTTACTTAAACTAATTTAATTGAACATGGAGTTTGACGTTGCATGGAGCTTTACACTTTACACTTACAGTTTACCTACAATTACATAACCTTACCTGAATAATTGAATAGGGTGAATAGTGAACACTGAATAGTGAATACTGAATAGTAGTAGTACATTAGGCACTTGCACTCCCGCCACTCCCAGTGTGACGATTTATTAACATTATTAACATTTTGAATTTGTAGCGTATATTTGACGCTTTGCCCTTATCAGAGGGTCTATCATATTGAGTTGAAATTGAGATTGGCTTTATCTCCTTTGAGTTACATACAAATAACACACGTTATTGCCGACGTTTCGCCACCATGGCTTC